CGTAGAACTTAAATGTGAGGATGAAAGACATTACCACTGAAGACTTAAACGTTTACATTATTAGTCATCATCATCATCCTCCTGCCCTTATCCCTACGAGGGGTTGGCGTAACATGTGAATCATATTGTAAGTGGTTTTGGCTGGGTTTTTTATGACCGGCCACCTTGTGACATTAACATTAAGAAGAGTTAATGTCACATTAACATGTGACATTAACTCTTCTTGGGAATCACACAAATACTTGTCCCGGTGTGGGAATCGAATCCACGACAACCGACGCTGGAATCCATAGTTTAGCGACGGCGCCACCGAGTTCACATTTTTTGTATTCCTAATTAAAGATTATGAATAAATTTAGGAGATTATTATCGCGTAACTCACGACGAGTAAAGATGTAAGTATATGCCTGGTCGTACTGTAATTATGTCCAAGAGTAAAATGACCCATGGTTGCCCCACGGAGTCGCTATAAATCTTCGAAGCGCTACACCGGGCGGAGGTAGGACGCGAATCGAGGCGAAATGCCCCGCCTCGGACCAAGGCCCGCGTCGCCTTCGACAATTATATTTTTATCACAAAAATTCCCCATTTTCCTTCAAATGGGCAATAAATTGTTTGGCCCGAGGTGCGCTTGCGCCGTCGAGCGCGACGCGGCCACTTAATACTCGTAAGCGGTGAAGCCATGTTCCGCGAAAGAGTTGAACTGTTTCTGCACTAGTCCAGACCGACGGCTAAGTCTGCAGGTATTAATATTTTTATATAGGAATAACATTTAAACTTCAAACGAGCTCTTTACTATCAAGTCTTCGAGTCGATCTTAATGTTTATACTAAATTATGTTAAATAATATGGTAACCGTTTACGATAAGGATGTACATTTTCATAAGACCAGCGTAAAGTGGAAGTATGACAAATACTTTCGCGTTTGTCTGGTGAGTGAGGTAGCCGGAGCCCATTTTCCAAAAGGTTGTCAACGCATCCATGGTCGACGGTATTCACTTACCATCAGGTGAACCGTCGGTTCGTTTGGCAACTTTTCACATAAAAAAAAAACAAGAAAAACAGACGACAATTTCATCGCAAAACATCACTCATACAAAATACGTGTAACTATAGAAATGTTCAAGTGAAGATGAATCTCAAACGAAACGCTCATTATAAATAAATTGTAAAATCCGTCTGCCCCCCACGGCGCCAGCACTACAAACGACGAAAACCACGCGCCGTAAATGCACATTCATATTCATTCGCCTTATAATAATCATAATGGTATCAAAAATAATTTTACGCAAATTAATTGTAATTTTATGTTAAGTGTTTAACAAAAATGGGCCGCTTGAATTCATCGCATTTCACGCGTTGTTTTGCATCCGTTAGCGCCCGAGTCGAATTGCAAAAGCAAGTGCGATCCGATCGCTTATTTAGTGCATAATAAAAGGATTATCCACGTGCTGGGAATAATGACACGTTTCTTAACAATCATGATTTATTAACATAATTGTATTTTAATTAACGGGCTTACGCAACATTGCGTTAATGTCATAATCGTTATAAAAAAAAATAATTATGGTGTTATAAATGTTTTCATCTAAGCATTGTAGTCTTTAACGGTGGCTTTTCCAATTCCAATTTAACATAAACAAATCGAAATTTAAAAACAGTCTGAAGAGTTTGTTTGTTTGCTTTAACGCTATAATCGCTGGAACTACCAGTGGGATGTAAAAAAATATTTTTGCATTTGATAGCCCAATTCTTGAGTAAGGCCAGTAATGTACATATTACTCAATATAACTAATAGTTTTTTTTATTGCGTTTATCCACTTTACAAAGTCTACGGTCAGAGGGCAGGCAGAGAGAGTTTACGTTCATATTTTAACATTAACAAATGTGTAATCATTGTACTTTTACAGTGGTAGAGCTAAGCAACTGCTTCTGTCGTTTCACAAATGGATGGGCCCGTCCGGGGAAGCACGGCCTCAGAGAAGACCACAACGTGAAATGGAAGCATAATGCTTTCAATTTTCCTCCAAGTTTTTGAGGGTTTTAAACGCATCTGCGAGTTTTGTGAAGGTCTATGGGCAGCGGTGATCACTGAACATCAGGTGGACTACCTGCTCGCCTCACAATTTTCCACATAAGAAAATCATAATCTGTAATCAAGCTCTTTTTTTTTTCAAAACCCTTTTTTAAATATCTGAGGAATATTTGTTTGGAAAGTTCCAATATAACAATGTGGATTTATTGCTATCGCTATACCTCTTTTTGTCCATATGTTAGAAACAAAAAACAAGTGCCGTGGTGCCTCATACTTTGCAATCTTTCACTACCAGAACCACTTGAGCCCCCTCTAGTTAAATTCATATATCTTCGCTGAGTTTCGGCGCTTCAGCAATAATGGTTCGAATAGAACTGAGCTAAGAACGTCAAGAAAAGACAATAAATCAGAGCGAATAATCTTAGAACTCTTAATTCTTACGACTTAATTTTGCATATTTATACGAAACCATCGCGATTTGATGTTATCGTGAATCGTGAATTCCGTCAAAATACCGACATTTAAATCATAACGGTTGCACCGGATTAGCGGATGGATGTGGTGCACGTAATTACGTTTTAATCTCCTACAACAAGTTTTTCGTGAACGCAACTTTTCAACTAAAAAGGAACAATTATACTTGCGTTTACCAACTTAACCCCGAGTAGGCGTGCGCCGGACGGATACATCAAAATGAGAGAGGTATTAACTCGTTATCTATATAATTTGGCGCGCTATCTGCGAGCCAATCTGACTATTTGAGAAATTTAAATGAACAAAGAGCTGACCGGGCGCGCGGACCTATCGCGCCGCACGAATCTTAACTGTTCAGAATTTTTTTACGAGCGCCGGAGCACCAGACGGGAAACCATAAAACGATGCCGTGGAACAAATACTTAACACCTGTGAACAAACTTAATCGAGAAACGTGAAAGGTGCCCGATTAATGACATCCAAGTCCCGATTGCCCTTACGCCCGCTGTAAATGACATTCTTCAGCGTTTCAAAATGTTATAAACCAATATTCTGTTGGAAAATATATCAAATTATTGCAGTAGACTTTCCTCGTTCCGTCTTTATATAATTGTTTCTAAGTGTTTTACGTTGCAACAATACTAGAAATTGATAGTCATTACATGTAAAAATGCAGATATCACCAAAATAATTAGAATATACGAGTGTCAAATGAGAGATGATGACTGAAAGCAGACACTGCAAGTACTCCATAGGCATATGTTCAGCAGTCGACTCATGCTGACTGTAATGGTGATGATGAAGATGATGAAGTATTCCATCACAATAACAAGAATGGCGCTACAAGTCGGAATCGTAAGCTATAATGTATAAAATAACTCGAATATAAATTCGTAAGTCCTACGACTTCACGATTATGATAAAAAGTCATAAAACTGATTTGAAATACACGTCTGTTGGAGCATGTTCCTTACCGGTAATCAATATACAAGACTTACACACTAATAGACTCATAATATACTTAATAAGTTTAAACACTTATGCACTAATCCCATAAATTGGGTGAATATTTATCAAGGTGGTCTTGTGATAAACTCTAAACGAGACCGAATATTTACCACGTTAAGCTACGATAGTCATAGACACATATTTCTTGAACTCCAAGTAATAATTCAGTAAGCAAATTATGAGTCTATTATGATGAATATCAAAAAAAGGGAAAAGTAATGTCAGTAGGTGGTCATTGAGTTAACGTCCGTAACGTTTAATTAAATTTATTGGCTTCTTTAAACTAGTAACACAATAATTAACTTATAAGTACATTTTTCAGGTAAGCTGTATCAAGGTCGGTACATTGCTTAGATACGTAAAAACTTCTTTAGGTTTGCTTCTATAAAACTTTTTAAATGAACTTTGCGTATGGTAGGGCTTTGCTGCTTCTTCTGTGGCAATAATGGTCGTTGCATCTTGTGAGTGAGGTAACCGAAGTTCCCTTTTTCAAGACTACGCCTAAGGTGTTATAGCGTCCAAGGGCAGTAGATGTCGCGTAACATCTGCTGAAACTGCCTAGTTGCTTGCCAAATTTTCACATAACAGAAAAAATTACTATGGTGTCGTAAAGTTTTTACTGTTTTAGTATGAAAATATTTAAAAATAGCTGCCCATGTCATTAATGAAGTACCAACTCGTTTTAATTAATAAAAAACGTTTAAACTCGATACAATGATTCGATTTAAACGTTTTTTAGATAACGGACAGCTCGGCGGACTCCATCACCGACTATACACGAAATAAGACGAGGGTCCAATTATCTTATATTTCGGACTTCCGAACTTTCACTCCATTAGTGAAGTAAACGCCTACCGCCTGGGCGTCCCGAGCTGGCAGCCCCCGCGCTTGCCTCGAACCAAAACGGCCTGGAACGAAGTGGAAATCACCGAGAGCGGTTCTATTACCGCACGTAACGCGGGAGCCCGCATTAGCATAGGCCCGAAGGCTCGTCGCTACTGGTTATCGCATCGAATGAACCTCTATGTACTCTCGTTGCTATTGAGTTGGATGAATTTCAAGGCTCAATAGGACTTTGCTAACGGTGTAGTACAGTTCAGCGGCTGAGAGTGACGCGTGCCCTGCGGAATTTCATTATCTTCGGCCAGTTGTCTCCGTTCAGGCAATAAACTATTCCGCAGATACGGTGTTACGGCGCTGTCGCCTAGTGCACAAAATGTATTATCTCGACATTACTGACAACAATAATTCACCCGTGGACCCGTTAAAAAGGGTTAACCAGTGATTTATATCGGAGACCGTAATCGAATACGAAGTGTACGATTAAAACTACAACAGTCACTATCATGAACATACAAATATAACGATGAATAATGTATCGACGCTTATCACGTGCTCATTTGCGTACGCGCCGCCCGAGTGCGGCTCGTAACACGAAAAGGTTGTAAGCTTCCACTGTGTAATTGATAAAAGATATATCTTAATGCGCGGGAACGGCGCCGTTCGTTCGGAAATTGAGGCTGTTGGCTTCGCGATACAAACAAGGCAGATAATGGTGGCCGAGGAGGAGAAGCGGGCAAACGCATCGGACTCGTAAAAAGTAAATCCGCAAATGGCAATAACCGAGTGGGCGTGGCCGTTGGCCGACAGCGTGCAATTATGCGCCTTTAACACCCGCGAACCGCCAAATTAACATGTCATGAATATTATTTAACTTTTTCACCATTATGATAATTCGATTGCATTGCGCGCGAGTTCTGCTGCCCTAGAATTAAGTCGAGAGCGTAAAAAAACGAGCTTGCGGCGATCTTTAGCGGGTATTTGCATACATTACAATGCGGATTCGTACACGGTGGCACGGCCACGTGGAAAAAATGAAACGCAGGAAGCCGGGAGTGGCGCGTGCGTCGGCGCGCGTCTCTCTGATGGGAGCGAATGCAAATCGATGTTTAACTAAGGACCGCATCTCCATACGCACGACGTCGAGACAACTCGACACATTCGTTTGCCCGTAACTTATTACGCTTAAGTGAATTAAGCTCTACGCAATTAGTCGCCGGTGGACATGGCCCTCGCTCTCGTGACTGTGAGGTATAAGTAAATGTTTTGTTAACGTTACATTATGGTTAAAAGGTGAGGCAGTTTCAAAGGCAATAGCTTGAATACGTCCAAGAATATGCTGGAAACAGGATGGTTGGAGCGAGCCAGCTGAATTTCTTTATCCCTCAAACGAGGTGGATTAAATGACTGTTCTGTGTTACAATGACACTGGTCTCCATATTAATTTGGGCCTAGATAGCCTTTGCTGGGATAAGATAAGCCTTCTAGACTTATCCCAGCAAGAGTTAATTGTCATCTGTCTCTCATCATCACGTTTGACTGACGGTGACCATTTTTGTTATAACTGGCGATTGCAAATAATAAATACGAAATTTCTTAAATCAATCGATTGATAGCTAATTAGTAATGTAGGTAGAGAATTCAAAGTTATAAATGGCTATCCTTTTCCTGCGCTACTTCAGGCAATAATTCAAATCAAAACTTGATTTATATTTCATTGGTTGAAAACATATAAATTAATTAAAGGTTATTTGTTTTTGAAGCAGAGATATCTAATTTGAATCATCTAATAATTTAAAAGTTAAACACATTAAGTCATCGCTAGATAAAGCTCTGCGTACAAAAATAACCTACTAAATATTTTTTTACAATTTCGAAATACTTTGTCTATTTAAATCTACGTATTTATCTTTCCAGTTAATTGGAAATTAAAATATATCTGATGTCATTATCATCGAAGAAATATAAAGTTTTAAATTTAATTTGAACATGGCGTGGACGACTCTTTTCTAACAAAAATGTCTATTTTCACAATTCTATGTAGATGAAATATTTACATAATGATCCTGTGGTTATACGAAATCTCCTCAACTTGATCGATTTCTTTCTGGACCGAATTGCTAAAGCGTCATGTGCCGGTTTCAATTAAGGCATTAGATAAAATATAAGTCGTTTTTTGCGCGGGTATGAACTTGTATTGGACTTTAACGATATCTAAATTAATTTAGCACTCATTACGCGAGCCTTTGAATCGACAGGCGAGCTCGTTGCGCTGCTAGACTAAGACAGCGTCGAGAGCCGGTTCCGTAATGGATAGCCAAGATACGGAGGCCATTAAACAAATTTATAAAAAATCGCCGCCCGAACTAATGGCGGCGTGACACCCCATTGATCAGGCGGCGCCCGCTCCGCACGGCCTACCGGAGTCGTGTCGAGGTCAAACGCGGTGCTATCGCGGCGGAGACGCAACCTGTACCTCGCGGCTCCGGTAGCTCAGAGATTGTGGCCCGCGCGCCGTTCTAGTCGCATGTTAGCTTATTGCACACACATTTGGACCTCGTAGAATGCCAAGAAACTGCAAGCTAAGTTTCTGATTCTTTATTATTTATACAGAATCTGCAGCAACCCGTGAAAATGCAATTGTATGGTGTGTGTAATCTATTTTTCGATGTCTTATTTGCACTTTAAGTTAAGGTTACGTTGTACGCTGACTAGTTTCCTAAAAAAGATTCAAATTTCAAGAGTAAATCTGTATCAGAGATATATACATTTTAAGACATGAATTATATTTTGAAATATAAAAAGCAATATTGCCCAAAAGCCTATTTGACCAGCTTCTTGTGTGGGCTTCAATTGGAGACTGGCTTCACTGTTTTTTAGTATTTGTAGCATATCTACAAGCTGTAAAACCACACAGTAATAAGCCATACGAACAAATGCTTCGGTAAAACAAATAATAAACCAATTTGAATTTTACTTCAATCAATTTTGCGTATAACAAGTAAAAATAAATATAAATTTCGCGATTATTTTCATTACTAGCCCGCAACGCAACTTAATTTCCATTACGAACATCGAGAACTAAGAGTTCGTATACAAACTAATCCAGAACATAGTTCAAAACTCAGGTACAGTGCCAGTGCTTTTAAACTGATTCTACCCAAACAGCTTGGAATCAGATTCGTCATCGCTCTTTGAAATATTTAATTGTAATTTTAAGTGTCTATTTACCTAGTACTATACGATGGCGGAACACAATCGAGATATCTAGATAGAACACATCACAAGATATCAAGATAAAACAAATCAAAAGATATCTGCCAGTGGATGGATAGAGACACAAAAAAGTTATTAAAAGCAAATAGCCATGATCGAAATAATTCTTCTAAAATTTTGATAAGGATCAAATCACAAGGTGGTTCGCGGCAACTAATTTACTGTAATGGAGCATAAGAAATACTTTTGTTTTAAAAACGATTATGGTAGTTTACATCCACTACATTCTTATATGAAGTAGTACTCCATATAAGAACGGATTAGTAGGTACTAATCCGTGTATATTGATAACTTAAGTTTGTTAAGAACGTATTTTTACCGCTACTTTATTATATTACGGTTAAGCCTATAATAATGTCATAACTGTCGATGTAATGTGTTTGAATTCCGCCAATGTGTCGGGCTAACTATTCCAATAGAGCCGTATGAACGTAGCGGCGCCGGCGCAGCGTCGTCTTGTTTAATTCAACGATCATACGTCATTTACGCGCCAAGTTAAATATTTATAACTCCATTGTATTTGTGTTTGTGCGGTGATGAAACGAGCCTCATCCGACCTAATGTAACCGCCGCTTCGCACACGACCTCGTGCTCCAATTGCGAATCCCAAACTTGTTTCAATGTCCGAACGAATTTCATATCTACTATGTTAATTATGATGATTTAATTACGCGTGTTGTAATCTAAACGGTCTATTATAGTTCTCTTGCCAGCCAACTGTGCAAAATAATTTTTAACTTTCTCAAAAAAGTAATTGGATCCTATCGAAAATTCAACTTAAATGTAGTTTTCCAAAGTTATTTTTATTATTTCTTCCACTGACATATAAAATTAGAGCAAAATCTAAATGAGTTATAAATGTTCTTATTGCAATACTAATAACTAGTAAATTTTTTTTTAAAGAATTATAAACATAAATCGAAATAAACATTCTAAATTCTTTACGTGAAAATAAAATGTATAAATAAATCGTTAAAAAGTCTCAACATTCCACATTATTAGAATAACCGAGACATCATTCACGGGAACATACATGTGTAATACTCTGATAAAATAGCAATTATTTTATCTAAAACGTATTGAAATCAGCGGCGTCTTTAGCATAGTTCACGCAGATAAGCAATTATAGGTTATGCAAATTCGTTTGGTGAAAGCGAAAACGCTCTCGCCGGCGGACGGCTTTCATAATCACACATTAAATGCTGCGATCGTAAAAAATACTACGGGTCGTTTCGTTAGAATTCCTTGTGTGAAATAACCTCCAATTAAAAAGTTTAAAACACCTTTAGTACGGATCGCGTAAAAAAAATCTAGAATTCACTTTCCAAGCATGTTTTGTGTCATGCCGAGTTTAAGTGCATTGCAAATGTGCGGAAATTGGTGAGGTGCACTGCAGTTGGCTGAGGATCGTGTGTTCTAGTAGTCTATGAGTGACGTTTATGATCAGCAGTGGACTCGAAACGAATCGAGCAGGTCCTGGACAACAAACTCCTTAGTCAACTGCCATGAAAGCTATGTGGTAGCCCACGTGCTAAGAAATTATAAGTGATTAAGTTTTAGTTTTCCACGATAAAAGTTGATTTCGTAGGCATTGGAGGGAAGGGAGAATGGAAGATAAGCTAACTTTGAACCGGATTCAATATCTAAGATTTTAATAAAACTAAAAATATAAATCAAACAGACTTCAGCGAGAGCCCAAATCACTGGATCCATTAAAGATGTTTATGTTGATTACACATTTAAGTCTATTTAAATCTACGTATTAGCTAACTCAGCTATGTAACAGAAATTATTAAGAGCGAATTATTATATGTATCACTTCAAAGTTAATTATGTTAGAAGTATTTTTACAAATGAATCCATTACATTTGTATGCGTGAAATGTAATAATAATATAAAGAATTACATTTTAAATCAGACGTTGGTTTTCTAAAAGACAAACTTTAACTACATAATATTTGTTGAAGTATAAACATGTTATGTACATACATCCGCCAACAACCAAGAAATTAATCAATATTTTAATGTACAAAAAGACATAATATATTCCATTATAGAAAGAGTTATTAGAATAGAAGGGGACTCTAGTAACTCTCTCTATAACATTAACGTAACAACATAACCATATACGATGACATTTTTTGTTTCCTTTCTAATTCGAAATTATTTCTTAAAGATCTTTCAGACATTCGATTGGCGAAACCTGGCATCCAGCGACAGGAAACCTGTCCGAGTAAAAGACATCGTTAATTAACATAGAGGCGCTCTGATTCAGTCTCGGCCAGTTTCTATTTGTTTTCGACGGACATGGAAGTGTTGGGTCGAATTACTTTCGAGGCGCTTAGAATTGAGGCAGACGTCTACGGGGAACGCGACAGAATGTCCGCCCAATGAGACAGAATAAAGCTTACTGACAATGTCACTGAACTGACGTATGACAACTTGTACTCGCCTCGGCCACCTGCTCAACTTAATAATCTCGGCGGAAAACAATCACTTCTTAATCCGACCAGTGTTGGCTAATATAGATAGAAACAACCGTTCCACAACCAACTCAAGTACGCATTCGTAACATAAATAATCATAGCTAGAATCTCCACTGAATTGTAGTAGGCAACACACCTGTAATTTATGACGATTATAAGCCCCCATTTGGGAAACTAGCAATTTTAATGTAATGATAATAATCTTATATATGTTTATGAGGACAGTAAGAAAAAGCCAATAAACCAATTATAAAACATAAAACCTGTACTCAATTTCAAAGTGTAAAAGCCTTTTTAAACTTAACACTTGGCTGCGTTCAAAGTTTTAATGTTGTTGTCTGCATAGCGGTGTAATGGCCCAAATATCATGGCCACATAACACGGGCCCATAAGATTACAATCCACTGAAATACTCATTCAGAGATATCACCAGTTCAAGTCCGAACAGAACCAGCTACGAAGAAGAATGATCAGATGTATATCTGAGGTGAGTTTCCGGACAAAAATTTTGAGTGCACGGGCTACGCACTTCGAACAAAACGCGTCCGCACGTGTTTCGTATTATATGTAATACAATTTCGGTCGGCTTTCGCGTAAAACTAACTTAATAAACATATTTTTGGGGAAAAAACATTCAAACTCCTCAGTCATAATATAATTAGCTGTGTCTCCAAACGCTGTATCAGAGATCTCGGCCGGTTGCGAGTGGCGTTCGGTTCGTACGCAGTGTAATTAAAACGCCCGTTCGTCACGGCAATTAATTTCTCAAAGTCAAAAGTTTGCCACGGAGCGCTTTCGTACCGAGCGGACGGTGTTCCACTCGCTGCGTAGAGTGGCCCAGACCAAATTTCACGTCGTAAATGTTCCTCGCTCCGGAGGATCTCGCAGTTTCGAGAATAGGAATCTCAAGAGCTCGCTTGCAATACCGCTCTTATGAAATTAAACCCACTATTACGGCGGAGCTAGGAGGTGTCCATTATTCACTATCGACGATCGCCTTGCGTTCTTGAAAATCATGAATGATATAAATTTCTTAGGCCCTTTCCGGCTCCTTTGTCGCTTTTACGAAAAACATTCTCGTTAGATGTAACCAAGTCGAGTCGCAGTGCTCGCAATAAATTAAAAACATTTAACTGTTCTCAGCGTCTACAAAAGCACTCAAGCAAAGAGTTTATAGTTGGAAAACAATGTCAGTTTTTGGAGACTCGCCACGGTCAGCAGCCTTTACGGCCGCGGTGGTGCTGTGACGGCCAATTAATTTCGACGATATAACTAGCCGGAGATTTATAGCGCGACGCTTGAAGGTTTCCTCGACACGAGGTGCGCCGCTACCTAATTAACTCGTAAACACACAGTCGCTGTATCAAATCCACGTCTTCGACTTAGAATGGACGGTAGATTGCAAAATGCCGAGACTGCAATTTTGAACGCTCAACTTACGATTCTTTCAAACGTCGAAATAAAACAAAGGTTCCGCATCTTTCATCACACACCAGTTTTATCAGCAATTTTGTTACTTCAAAAGTCCCATCTCACCTAAAATTATAATTTCACCTCTACCCTTACAGTAAGTAATTATCAGTTAGCATCTTAAAAACAATTTTGGGTAAAATCAATAAGTAAGTTTAAAGGTTCTAAATTGAATACAGGTAATAATAATAATAGCTATATTGTAAATATGTTATATGTTTTAATAGCTATGTTGTTGAAAAATGTAGTTAAGTATTGCATTGTAGACACCTTAAATCATTTACAACTAGCGACCCGCCCCGGTTTCGCACGTGTGCAATGTATTGTAAATATAAACATTCCTCTTGAATCACTCTATCTAGTTAAAAAAACGCATTAAGATCCGCTGCGTAGTTTTAAAGATTAAAGCATACATAGGGACAGACAGACAGCGGGACGCCTTTGTTTTATACTATGTAGCAGGTTCGTTAAAAAATATATCGATTCGAGGTTTTTCGTGTAATGCGTTTTATTGTCTGAGTAATCTATTTAGGGAGAGTAAAGGCCTTAGTTAGATTATTATCAGGTCCTTCGAGGTTTATACTCAAAACTGTAAGTTTTATTCTAAACTGTAACTTTTCCCGCTTTTTCATTTCCTCGTGAACGGCACTGACTACGAATAGGACAGTTAAAAAACTTAAAAAATATTTCTTTGTGTCAGGGTCTAAGCCATATTAATTAAAGTTAAATGGGTATTAAATTATAAAACAAATGTTAAATTTAATTGTAAATTACATTGTATATTTTTTTTACATTCAAATGACTTAAAAATTTTTTCCTGTAGGTTCTAAACCATATAATACAGATATAACTGAGTTCAGATCTTTTTGAATCCCTGACTTACATTCATACTTAATACTGTTTTTCAAATATTCCACCATTTCACAATTGAGTCATTCCCAAAACGTTACTTTAGTACTTCTCATTTACATTAGTATAAATGAGAAAATAACTCTACGGCATAAAGATAACGTACTATCTTGTAACTTGCGCTAACCGCGCCGATTTAATTGCCCAGTTAATTAACATAATCATCTCACTTTGAGATTCTTAACATTTACTTTTGGTATCACTCGGGCCGTAGCGACGATAAGTTTCCGTCGTGTCATTCGGCTTGTGGCTCGATACGTTTTATATATTTCACTTAGCCTATTAAGATAATTGCTTCGCTTAATAGGAACATAATTAAACGGCCGGTACTGTTATAATTTTCTGACGGTCACGGCGGGCCGAGCACCGCACTCACTGCTCACCCTCACAACTGCTGCCCGATTTTTACTAGATTGTCTTAGGATGTAATCGTTTTTTAAATGTTAGAGGTATTAACATTTAAACAATGACTCATACTCAAAGCTTAGACAGCCATAACTAATGCATTATGGCTGTCTAAACTCCGAGGATTCATCTCCTTTAGCGACGACTGCACAGGTGCCCATCGTCCTTTAAACGACTGCTTTAAAAAATTGCTGATTTTACGGACCATTTTCTCGATTAATTAATAATTTTGCTTCACAAGAATAGCATAATTTATCTATTTTGTGATTTCTGTAGTTGGCATTTGCTGAGTGGATCGCTGCGAAATGCCGTTAGCAGACGAACGCTATCTAAGAAATGGCAACGATGCAACCCGTAAGAAATCAAAACGGATGCTTCATTAAAGAAAAACCAGCATCACGATAACCGATGAAATATTGTCTGTGCACGCACACACGTACGTTTTCTGCTTACGACGCATTTACTAGCGTTAGTTTATTGCCAGTTGATCAAGCGCAAATAATTTATTAAGCAAATATGTAAATGGCTACTTCGATTATTGGACGAGTAATCCAATCGGCATATAGCGGACTGGCTAGGAGCTTTGTTTAGTAACTCGCTTCAATATGTAACTGCAGTAGGAACGAAATTTATAACAATTTGAAAGGTGCGATGACAAATTCGTTTAACTGCTAAATTAACGCTTAGAATTACTGCCACTACCAGCAAATGTCACTTTAGTTTATTCATATTTACGTAAAAGAAGAACTTCAATATGTATACAATCGATGAAGAACTGTCGTAAGAGACATCCCAGAAAAAGTCGAAGTTTATCGAAAGTATGTTTACGAGACGCTTCATTGATATCATAAAGAGAAGCGGTCTAAAGTGGTTTAATAAAGTTTATCTCTTCACCATTCACACATTATGGTTAGCGGTGTCAAAGGCTAAGAGTCGTTAATACTACACCTACTTAACGCGGAGTTATTGGGCCAATTATATGTACAGTCAGTTTTCGTGGCCATCAAATAATAGTATACAGTTACATTTGGATTCTGTTTAAAGGTGAGACCATTAAAGCCCATCTTCCGAACGTTCAACACCACATTATTTGTATCTACAATCGGTCCGCATAAAAATTATGCAGTAACACGAACCAATCCGTGAAGATAACGCTGGCGTTAAGTATTCAAAGAAGTACAACTGGGATCGTAAACATTTTGATGATTCAATAAAAGTCGACAGAACCACGACCGTCGGAGTGGTCGCCGAGCGAGCTTTGCGGCGCTCTAAATCAAAGACGAAGTTAAAGGCCACGGTAAAAAAATCTTTAATATAGGGCTGCGTAGTCAACCGCAAATTTACCCCAGAGAAGAAATAGCGAGGAAATAAGTGCAAACAATAGTTATTTCCGTACGTTTGATAGTATACATTGTCTAAGTCGTTAAGGTTGCTTTGTTTACTTCCTCAAAATAATGTTCACTCGAGAAATATGGCAGCTGTGGTATAGTCTTACTTTGCATTCCAATTAAGAGCTTTTTCCATTACTCAATTCCGTATACTTTGAGACAGTATTTCGACTCCGTATAACGTAGATAGTATTAAATGCGAACATGCATTTAGTATATTACCTTTGGGTACCGTTCCTATGTAATTGTAAAAATCCAAGACTGAAGTGATCTATTATCATCAGGTCACTTGACCACTTCCTCCGAACGAAGTACGTCATTAGAATTAGAAGACTTGAGAGATTGTTTTAAGATGAGAGTAGTAAACAATTAATACTCGCCGCTGGAGAAATTGTGCGTTGCACGCGCCAGCTGCGATGCTCGCTCGCTTGTCCATGTGTCCGTGTGTCCGTGTCGGGTGCAGGTGTGGCCGTGTGCTCGAGTGTTTGCGGGCCCGAGGTCGGCGGCCGCTTTCCCAAGCGGGTCCGGCCGCCCGAACTAGTGGGCGCGTGTTGAGATCGAGATTTGGGACGATAATTACAATTTCGCCGTTCACGCGCACTGGCTCGCTTAATGTCCGCACCCGGCTTATTATTAAATGCGAACGAAGACGCCTCTCTTCGCGCGGATCCGTTCGCGATTGTTTCTCCCTCTTTAAAGTGTATTCCAAGATATTTGACATATTGTAGCCTCACTTAAGCAAAACCATAACTGCCAAACATTAATAACACTGAGTAAGTGTTGACGACAACATATTTTTGTCAAAAATAATCTTATTTTAATAGTCTAAAACTTCGTTTATTTGATAATAATCGAATAACAAAATAGTAACGCTATATTTTGTAATATATTTTTTCTTCTTCTGGTATGATTAACATCGCGATTCGATGTCTTTAACACAATTAAACAGATGCAATGCAAATGTTGATGATATTCTGAAAATCCATTATGCTGTGCCTTTTAAAATTGCATATTGTGCCTTGTACAATCGTTGTACACATATTTACTATTAGTAGTAACGTTAAAATATACTTTTTGTTACTCGACAACAAGAAGAACACTAAAGAACATTATGAAAGAAATGACACGTTACGCGATCGAGAGCAATGCTTTAAATCAATCCAATGGTGCTACCGGCGCTCTAAGCAACTCCTTATCAGTAAATAACAATGTTAAACGGCCAACGCGGCTGATTAAACAGCAATGAATATACCTAATACGGAAGAAAGTAACGCTTGATGGCCCCTCGAAGAAAACATGCTACTTGCACGTGACGGTATGCACGCTGGATGCTTTTACCTATGGTTATGATCGAGCGGAACCGCTGACTTCCATAAATATCGTCTCGTAATCCGCTGCGTGTTTAACAAACACGCACACACACACCCGTGAGTGTGCGTGTCTCGCGAGCACAAACAACGTGATTCTGAAATTCTGGCAGCCTCAACACTGAATGTGTACCTGACGAACCATCTCACAAAAACTTATGTTCTGTTAAAGATTTTTTTTTATAACTGATATTACGCTTTCAGTCCTAAGACTATTAAAGCTTCATCGAACGCAGAACCGGTGGGCTAGCCAGAACCCACGGGTTTGAGGCTCTCCTCAGTGGGTAGGGCCGCGCATGTAGTCAAGCGTGCTTTTATTTTGGCATGTCGCTTACGGGCCATCGAGGTTCGGTACGGACCGTGACCCCGATGGCCGTTGACTGTGCTGTGTTAGTCTATGGCTGGGGGTGGTGATAACGGCCCTGGAACGCGAGTGGTGGTTCCGCCGTGCTCGAAGGCGAAGACGAACTATGGTGTTTGTTGATGCTTTAACTGAGAGTGTAGTGTTATTTGGCGGGACCCCCGACGTACTTCGGACCCCCGAAGTCCCCTTCCTCGACCGGGTCGAATAGGACGTTGCGTGGGGGACGCTTGTTGACGTTCGCGTTAATCTCGGGTTGGTAATTTGCTGCGCTTACCACCTGAGAGTTGGGATGATGTTCGGCTCTGTCGAAGAACCGTTTGCAGTCACTGTGCAGGTCGACGTTGCGTTGATACCACAGCGCACCGGTTGCGCGGTGGATGAACTTATTAAAGTTGTTAAAGATGAGTTGGAACATGAACGCTCCGGATTCAAAGCAATACGTGTTCCCAAAAAGAAAGTACGATTCTCTTCAGATAGAATCATAACTTTGACTTCACAAATGAAGCGAGGTTGAAAATATCCTATTTAATTAATTTATGAACCAAGAATTATATTTGCATGTCTTAATGGACTCCCAATTAAAGTTCATCTAAACCGCGTAATTCTTTCCGTCCAAAACTAAATGAATGCAACGTAATATTTTTTATTTATGCTAAATACTCTTTAATGAGAATACAATTTTATTTAACGTCGAGCTCAGCTGGAGACACGGAGCGCATCAAATCTGGAATTAAACGGCTCGACGACAAATTGTCCGGCCGTTACATTAAAAGCTTACGAGAGAGAAAAAAGGGCAAACCGACTGAAATAATTTCCACGGGATACTGGTTGCAGCATCCGACGCATTAACATGATCTAGAGTAAGGGTGCGCTCACACTTCGGACTTTCAATTTCGCAAAATATAAAAACTGACCACATTGTTATAACCTTCAAATAATAACTTCGCTTTTTCCCTTGCAACTGAAACAACGGTCCTCATAAAATTTTTTTTGGCAAAATATGGTTTTTCACACAAACAGATACTTAACATGGTCCGCTAAATCAACCATGTTCTCAAAAAAAAAAAAAGAAATCAATCCCTCTCTTACGGTCCAACAAGATTTTAGTTCGTTCTTTGCAGTAGCCTACATAGTATAGATGCTTTTTTGGCGATACACCTTACGCAGAACTAAAACGACTCTCTTCCGTCTCTTTTTCCGTGTTATTCAACTACTTTTTTGGAAAATACGATGTTGAATTTTCTCGAATCGCGTAGTGCGGTGCAGGCCTTTAGCGCCGGCGCTGCCTCGGGCGAAATTAATTAGAAGTATCACGCACGGGGCCGCGTTAAACTCATAACATATTTTACAGGGACGCGGCGGTGAACGCCGCCGCCAGAGGATTGATGGCAGCAGCCCAATGAACTTAAATGCCCGCCTGGTCTGGGTGCTGGAGTCAGGTCTTGTCAGAACCGAAATGGTTTTATTCCAACCTTGCAAAAATTAAAGTATGTGTCGGAATTCGCCATCAAACAGGATTTAGTCAGGTGTTTGACACAAATATGTTATTCATTTTCATGTAACAAACTGGTAATCGAGCTGGCGGTTCACCTGATTTTAAGTGATAACACCCGTAAGGTAAGTATGACACTTCCAACTCACGCCGATCTTCTGTGACGTAGTGGTACTTCCCCGTACGAGTCAGCCCATTCGTGCAACATCGAAGACTGTTTTGTGGCCCTACTACGGTACACCGAATTCAATAAAATTAGAAGAAAACCATACTATATTTTTATTAAACGAGATCAAGTATTTTGTAGTTTATTAAGTTTTTTCATAGGCGAGGCTTTCCCGAGGACACTCTAACTCGGTTTTGTGATGGCGAAACGTTGAAATTGTCTACAGATTCTTGTCTCTTGTGCCTAGAGACGAGACCTGACGCGTCTCATTACAAACTGGCCACGCAGATCGGAACGATAGCGCATAGTGAATAATTAGCACCCGTTAAAATGGACAGGCGATGCATCACGACCGCATTTAATTAGCTACTGGGCACCGTTGTCCTTAAACACAACTCCAATCACAAACGCCTCGTGCAACGTATTATTGACTCCGTGGCGCAGTTGCCAGGGTATTGGGCTTCGGCGTCGGGTGTCGGGTGGTTCGATTTTTGTATGGACAACTATTTGTGGCCCACAGCTGATGGTCGTTTCGGATCTGGATGTTTGTCCACGTGAAATTATTTTTTGTAAAACGCAGCATGTAGTTAACAATGTTAGCAATGTTATCATACGGTAAGGGCAATGTTTTAAGAAATAAATTGATTAAATTACATACATATTTTGACAGGTTACACGTAGAAAATGGTAGTTTTTTTTCCTCTTTTATTCCATGGAATAAAAAAGCTGTAGATCACCGCGCGGGTTCACACTACACATAATAGTACTCGAAACATAAAGATAGTTATTTATGAAGTTGTCATTTTATCAATGTAATAGCTGTGCCCGCGACTTCGTCCGCGTGGAATTTAAAATAAATAAAATATCTAAAATAAAAGTAGTCAAAGTTACTCCTTATTACATCAGCTACCTGCCAGTGAGAGACCTGTCAGAATCGATCCAGTCATTTCAGAGATTAGGAACAAAAAGACAGACAAAAAATGTTTTTTTTGATATATGTACCGTTCATACATCCATATGCTTTGAGTAAAAAGCGATTATTTTAATATTACAAACATACACTCCAATTTTATTTATCTGTATAGACTAATAAGATATCTTAAGATATCTAAAAAAAATGTTCAAATTAACAGGTTAATTTCAACATTTTTTTTAAATAAAATTAATTTTTTATTACAAAAAATACACCATTAAGTACCCTCTACTTTTAAGAAGCACAATTTATGTATAGTTTAATTCCATAATGCCTAGAGATGCATACGATATTTTTTTCTGGACCTTTGCAGACGGCATCGCGATGCGTGAGATGGAGGTAGAAAGGCATTTGAAAAATTGTACCAATCGGCATGTGCGATTTTTTTACGAAGTGTTAATTGCGTGCCGCCATTAATGTCCTTCAACACCAGTACGAATAACCTTTCATAAGATGCTACATTTTGATACGTTTTTGCGTTTAATTAATAAATACCGCTCCAATACTTCAAATATTAACGGGGTAACAGGTGATTATGATGCGTGTGAATAAAAAACATTGAAAAAAGACCATCGATTGAATTACTTGCATTGCGTTGGTTTAGTTAACGGGGTCGAAACCTGTTGTTAGCTTCTAGATATCGATAAGGGAAGGCTGTCTCATAGTAATCTTTCGTATAAACTCTTCCAACAACATCCAATTCAGATACGTGTTAAATTATTTAGTTATTTTTATGACATCGTGCATAGTCACATGTACACCTGTATGTGTACTATTTTGGTTTTGTGTGTACAATTTTTATTATATTGTTTTGAATCAGCCGTCATTAATTCTTCTTTCATTTACTGATTGCTGATGCGAATTTATTATACGAGATTTTACTTGAAGAGTATCTTACGAAATATCTTTACTTTCAAGCAGTTTCAATTTAAATATAATATGACGTCACTTAGTGGCGACGCTATCTGACTTTTATCTTCGATAATTTTCATGTTTTAGTTCAAAAACTCGGTAATTTATGGTTACTTCTACTGGCTACTTTTATTAATGGTAAAACCATCAAACGTTTAACTTGACCCGCAACTAATCCAAAGGGCACTAGACTTCGTACGCTGTAATTATTCGCCTATGCTGACCTTTGACCTTTTGGTCGCTTCTCTTAACATTTTTGACTTTATAGCTATCCATGTTCAAATCGCGACTTCTAATATACAAAATGGCCGATTCGCCCGTTCGTTACTATAATTCATTACGTTTCACACAAAGTGCGATGAATACATTTATAAGGTGAATAATGAAAGGAACGAGTCAATTAGCTCAATTCCGAAGGGGCTGCAGTCGCGGCCGTGTCCCCTTGTTGATGGACGGCCGCCACTCCCGTGCCGCCACTGGACAGGCTGGTGGGCGAACCTCGTCTTGGATAGCAATCTGCAGTAGGGCCCCAGCAACTTATACTCACAACGCGGATTTTAAACTACAATCTTAACAGAAGAGAAGCTCGAGAGACGATTTTAGGCTACTTGGTGTTCCGCACTTATTTTGTAATATCAATCACGCGTCTTACTATGTTGATGTCAAGTCTCGCTTGATCTTGCAGTAAGCATAAACTATGGAGCTTTTCCAGAGTCAATGAATCAAAAAGCCATTAACTTCTAATCAATGAATGTTAAGAAACAGCAAGTCCGATGTTCGACAAATAGAAGAACACATTTCTATTAATTTCTCCTGTTCATTAGGCGCGGTTAGTCCTAACCGTAATACCTAATGAAGACAGGTTCATTAGGTAGAATTATTATTAATGACATGTCAATTTATTTATTACTTCAATGTTGTGTTATATCTTGCATGTTGTGTTGTCTTGAATGTGCTGTGTGTTGTTGTGATTTTTTAATGACATGATTTTATTAGAAGGCTTGGAGTGTTCGCCTAAGGTACTACCTAAGGCCTACAAAGTTAATTACCACTTTTCTTTGATCTCATTTTAATGTAAGTTTAAAACAGCTCGCACACAGCTCGTTGTATGTGCAATCGTTGTTGTTTTGTCGTCAACGATCCCGCTTAAAAGCGCTGCTTCATTATCGAGCGATGCGGTTCCCGCCCAGTTGACACTATGGCGGTTACGAAACAGTGTCGGCCATCTGTGTACAGGTTTATAGTCGTTTATTTTTCCTTGCCGCACGGTATTGGACATGGCGTTTGCATCACATCTAAAATTGGCCCCATGTCGCATTGCACAATCCATATAATAGGAATAAATAACTGAAGGTTGTTTATTCCTTTTATATGGGTTCCATGATTTTCATATTACAAGTACGTTTAGTTATAGCAATCGACAGACAAATACGGCAATTGACAAGAACTCAAGGTAATGTATTGTATAAATAAATTTACAATTTGAAACGTTTAACTGTCAGGACTACGTTCCTGAGACGTTCCTCTTATCAACCTCTAGTAACGTTCACTTTACTTGCCTTTATAAGAGAGAAGAGACTACACCGATAAATACTTATGTATTTATTGGTGTAGTCTCAGTTACTATTAACTATAGATACCAATACCCTGATTACATTGTCCAATCATTATATCCAAAAAGGGTCAAAACAATCGTTATTGAGATATGTGAACATTTTTCTACAGTGATGAAATATTAATTGTAATGGAATAATTAACTGTAGTGCAGTATACTTTTAACAAGAATACAATTTCGCATCAAATTTCGGTTAACCCGTAGACATATCCGTACGGGGAAGTTGCATGATCTAACAAAAGACCAACGTGATGTGGTCATTTTATACTTCTGCGCTTGGTCTGGTGAGTAACTTACCCGGGGCCACACTTTATTAAAAGGCGGCAACCCAACGGGTGTAGTCAAATGTCCATGGTCGGCGGTTATCACTTAACATCAGGTGAACCGCCAGCACACTTGCCATCTTCTGACGTAAAAAAATATAAATATGCACAAAATAACAGAGATATATATGAAAATACGAAAGGCACGCATTGCGCAATCTTTAATTATTACAAAACCCGGTTGAAAATAAAAAATGCGAAAAAAAATGATCTGCAAAAAATATAAGACGCGCGTAAAATATAGTACGAGGCAATAAAATCGATAAAATAAGCTTGTAATTAATTTAAAAGTAGCGCACAGTTGTTCGTTAATTCGGTGATATGTATACGAAAGAAGATAATCGTAAAATTTTATAAACGTCGCAACGATTTCTAAATAACGATGACAAATTTAATGTTATCGCCGCATGAATGGCATCGCGATTTCTGTTTACTATACACCTATCCACCCGCTAGTTTGGACATTTTCCTAATTAATGCAAAGTCTGCTGATTTAATTTAAAATAAAAACGCTACACGAAATAGTCTAATCCAATATTTTAATTTAGTTTTAAAATAATGCAGTGAAAAGATTTAAGCTAATGGACGTTGGTGAGATTTGTGGATTTAAACTAAAAGATTAGAGAACAGAAAACATTTTTTAGAAACGACTTAATCGTTTCTGATACATCGCAGTGATTATATATAATAATAATACCACGTTCATTGGCAGCGTGCAATTACGCGTTTGATTAAAACACGAGCCAATCAATGACAAAAAATAAATCTTGCGTAATGAATGCCAGGGTTGACGGCGATCGGCTAAATAATTAAAAGCAAGTATGTAGTTAGCTAGGCATAATTAAAATGAAGACAAGCTCTAAAACCTTTTAGCCAAGATAATCAGCGAGACGATCTATTTGGATGCAAATCACAATAAGGAAGCACCTTTATGAGGTCAGTTGAAGAAGTTATGAGTCTGCTATTATTTAGTGATCGACAAACAATCATGTAAATCTTGCAAAACAGGAACAAGTTTGCGTTTCAGATAAATTATGTTAAATGGCAATAATACGATCTCTGCATTTTCAGATTATAAATAAAATAAAATTAATTTAATGAACAGTTTGTCTATTACCCTGTTTAAGTTCAACGTCAAGTTAGAGGAGGGTACTTTTGACTAGAGTATTTTCAGAATGTCAACATTTGTGAAGCGAGTATTATGCTCAGTCGTCTAATTTATGTATCAGTTTTAAGATTTCAGAGATGAGTTGATTTGCAGCACATTTTTAATTTCATTCAACATAAATTTTAAACTTTACTTTTTTTGTACTTTCATTCATCTCTACACTCATGGCAATAGATATCTCTTCTCTTCTTTATTTTAAGAGCTAGGCACTTGCCGGTGCAGCATTTTTTTTCTTTTTATGTGAAAAGTTGCCAAGCGAGCAGACGGTTCACCTAATGTTAAATGAATACTGCCGAGAATGGACAACTGCTACACCCGAGGGTTCCATGGATGCGTTGACAACGTTTTGAAAATTAGTTTCCGGTCACCTCACTCACCAAACGAAACGCGAAAGAAATAATAACTTTACGCCGGTCTTCTGTGAGTTTGTGGTACTTACCCGGATGAGCCTACCCATTCGTGCAACAGCCGAGGCTGCCAAGTTGCCCTACTACCTGCCCGTGAATCCTGTGCATCCCAGTAGTTCAATGGTGTAACACCCTCTATCCTTCCCTGTTCATAGCTCTTAACTTTACTTCTCTCTATAGGAACCAACATTTTTTTTCTTTTTATTTGAGATATATATATATATATATATCTCTCTACCCCGCTTTCCTTCTATCTTTCCTTCCTCGGTGCTGTTAATGAAACTGTAATGTCTTATTACGTCGCCTGTCATCTGTCCTCTGCGGTTTTCAATTTTTATTTTATTTTATTTAAAAAGGACAACAGCAGTACATACATTTAACATTTAAGTAATAAGATATATACTAAAATTCTGATGCATTTATCTGATTAGGTGACATAGCATTGTTACAGGATTAACTAGACTGAACCAAAATAAATGTAAAAATATTTAAAAAAACAAATTAATTTCAGAAAAAAATTAAAAAGAAAGGGAAACACACAAAAATATACATTAAAAATACAGAATAATTACAACAATCCAAATTAAAACTAAAATTATCAGGAATTCAAATATTAACAGACGTGATTTCAAATAATTTTGTTAAATTTATTAACACTTAAATGGAATAGATCTATACTGGGTAGTTCTTCACAGTGTAGTGTTATAAGAATTGCAGAATCGTGTAACGGGAGCATGCAAACCCAAGTTACTTTTATGTGTGGAGGAGTCCGAAACAGTTTTGTTATAGGGCGCCGGTTTTCTATTAAATAAATTCATCAGACTTCTCTTCTAGACCTCTCAAAGTTCTTCAAATCTTTAGTACACAATAGCAGTTTATTTCTAATAACGAGCGACACAGTAAAAAATACTTAAGTGAACAATTTTCTAATTTTAATCGGGATTGGCAATTAACATCATTATTTTAGGAAATTTATTTTATTTTTTTAAATGAAACAAAATGAAAATGACTTTATAATAAGGAATTGCATGCCGGTTAACTCACAGTACAGCAACAAGTAAAATTATACCTTGTTGCACTACGTCATTGCTCTTTTGTAGATGATTTATACAATGGCTGTGTCTCTGATGGGTCCATAGAAATTAGCTGGCACTCAATAATGTTTTACGTACACTTTTCCGTTTCATTTCCGTTCCGTAAGAATTTTTCTTATATATATTTTCGTCCATCTTACCTATGTAAACAACATAATCTGCGTATTGATAGTCTCCTCAGTTGTATCGTGTTTAGTGCCTGAGAGTTATTTTAAAAACATTAATTTTAATCTTCAAATATATAAAACATAGAAAATTTAATGTAACATAATAAATACATAACAATAAAATTATTGAACATAAATAATAAATGCTACTTCGAAGTTAATTGCTTTTTATTAAATGTAATTGTAGAATGACCATTCCAATGCAATTAATTTGTGACCATATTTAAAAAAAAAAAAACAAAAGTCAAGCATTGGCATTTTTAAATGTGGTAACTATGAGTTCGTATTGCAATAACTGATGCCAGAGCAAATCATCAGTGTTTCCTGTTATTGACTAGGGATTAATGAAAAAACATTGTTGCCAGGAATAAGAAAAATTATTGTCTGTCTGTCATTCTTGTGTTGACGTTAAAATAAAAGCATGACTTTGTTTTTACAGTCATGGTTTTTACAAACTCATCCTTTTATTGTAACGTCAACTAATCTTTTTAGGTTAAGCCCCTCGCTAACGCAATGCCGCGCGGGCCCTTATAAATGTGTTAAAGACAAAGAACCACGTCTCAAAACAAGCAAGTTCCTGCCTAATAAGTCGATTGTTTAACTCGTCCGAAACTAAACAAAGTGACAACGCCATACGGAGACAGGGAAACGTGTAGGAGTTAAGAGGCTAAGCGTCGTTTTCCAAAAGTGAGGCAAGTCCCACTGTTTGCCGACGCTATACTCCAGAGACACTTTTAAGTACGCTGAACCTTGTCTGAGAGTTCGTTTCGATATTGCAGATCCTTATCCATTCCAATTCACTTGAAAACTGATGTTTGTTAATTTCTTAAAAGCGAACATCTTTACCGCTTCTTTAAAATTAGATTTCATTACTGCTTGATAATTATGCCACTAACAATTGTAATATTAAAAATAAAACATCGGCCGGCTTTTATATTTTTTTCCCAGTAGATTTATGAATTGATGGCGTAGACGCTAAGCCATTGGATTCAACGCCGGCAAATATGTGTTCAAATCCCATACGAAACAAGTGTTTGTGAGACCCACAGATAAATAATTGAAAGGTTAAAGCGAACTTAAACACAGGAAAATATTTTTTCTTACTAACTGACTTATTTGTTTATTTAGTTTATAAATTTATTTTTAAAAGACCTATAACTTAATAGTTATGATTCAAATACAATTCAAACCTTAGTATTTTAATACCTGTTGGAGTATATAAGATTAGTTTCTGAGTATATAATATAAAATATAATATTTTTTCTTAAAAATAATACTAAACTTTTAAGTAGGAACAAGTTAAAGGTACATAATACGCCAAATAGTTCATTGCTCCGCCATTTACCAACCGCACGTTAATGTGAAGTACAAACTACAATATGCGAGTCAGCGTAATAATATTTCCCTTAATTTAGCAGGCAATTTTTTAAGTTTTGGCAATTGATCGAAAAAAGGTTTAAAAGTGAAATTTATTCTCAAGACTATTATATCAGACATCAAAATGTTTAACCCGAACGGAGTAGACACTTAGACAGAAATGCTTAGTACCAAGTTATAACGTTAGCGTTATAACGTAGTTTCAAGCAAGTTACCAACCTATCGCCATAATCAGCATCGAAATAATATCGGTAGTAAATTTATTACAGAGGAAATGTGAAAAATGCAATAACATAATTGCATATAACTGGTTTAAACCCACAAATGTTTAGGCAACAGAACACTGCTAAAAATATAAATATATTCATAATGATGTACATATATTAAAGAGATAAATACTAAATATTTATAAAAGAGAAATATGTTACACGCAGAGTAAAGAATTCCTTTTCTGTTTCAATCCAATCATTTTGATTGCTCAGTTAGATAAAAAACCGTATCGATTTCAATTAATAAAATAACTAAAATAATTAAGATGGCTTTAAATTTGCATGGCTTCGGAGTCGGGGTTCGTGGGTTCGATTCCCAGACGGCACAAATATTTATGTGAACCACAGATAGTTGTTTCGAATCTGGGACACACCCAGTCCACGTGAAATTTATGTTTGCAAAACGTCTTACAACACAGTTTACACTTACTTGTTGATTGGTACTTGGCTATTGATTTTAAATAGATGTTATTTTGAAGATAGTAAAAAATAAGGTTAAGGTACAATATTTAGTTAATTTAACAAAAGTATAAACAGTGAATTATTTTTTGTAAAAAAAAACAACACTATTAATAATTTACGGGTATTGATATTAACCAGTTAAGTAGTTGATATTATTCTGAAGAACTTAAGTATAGTGGTAGTCAGTTTTAGTTTATGATTTTATAAATGACTTTGGTGATTCTTGTTAACGGCATCGTTTATATTATTAAAATAAAACCACAAATTAGTAAATATTGTATTCACAAAAGTAAGGGCAATGTTTCTTAAAAAAAACATCATTTAGAACTGCCATCCTAGCTTATTATTTTTTATCAGAATGAGCGTACTCCGCTTTTTACCCGACTGCACGAAGGAGGGTTATGTTTCTCGAGAGGGTGTATGTGTTATGTATAATTGTTTGGCACGCTCTGCAGCCTGTACGGATTAGCCTGTGGATTTTAGCTTGAGAGGTGACGTTAAATTCGTATTTACTATGAGTGTGACACTGGGTATATCAATATAAAATTTACACAGAAACGCATTCGGGTTTTTTTGTTTTTTAAATTATATTCCACTCGTTCGCGCATCGCAACGGTGCGCGCCGCGTGTAATGGCGCGAGGCGGGGGCATCGCGGATGTGCGTACGCAAATATTGGCAGAGCTGGAGTGGCAGGCAAGGTCGGGGGCAAATAGCTGTCGAGACGACTGACCGCCGGCCACTTTTAGCATTCCATTCAGCCTCCACAGCGCGCACTAATCGCCGGCGACAATATTTGCCCACATTACTATGGTGTATGTGTACTTACGACCTACGGCAAATAATTTGACCCGAATAATAGGTTCCGATCAACTCAGCTCGTCGCAATGTTCTTACAGTGCAATAGATCGTAATTATGAAGATAGTTATAGTAAAATGTCAGAAAGCCTAACGCCCGGTTTCTGAAACACTGATCATCATAGAAGTTAACTAATCGGCTGTTTGAATTGATCATTACGATCACTAAGAAGATCTTTCTATTCAATTCATAGAGTTTAACCATCCTTTTGGCAATTCGAATGATATTTGAAAAGCCATTGAAATCAGGTGTAAGTTTTGTAGTGGGTAACTAAGTACTAAGTATTTGCAGAAATAATCATGTTTACTCTTGATGTAATGGTACCATACAAGGTATTGGTCGAAATCTATATTCATGCATAACATTTATAAAACAATTTCTTATGTCTTTTTGCTTATTAATTATATTTTCTTACTATAACTGAAGTACCACTATTAAAAAAAAAAACTTATCGGTTTTTGTCACGTTTAATTTTCTTTTTTAAGTCTTTTTGAAAATAGATACGTTCTGCAAGACAAGATAAAATTAGCATGTACTGGGTGAATCGAAAAAATATTAATAACTAGTTGCTGCCCGTGACTACGTCTGCGTAGAATTGGCTGAATGCGTAACATTCAGACAGAAAGACAAATATACATAAAATATGTATATAAATTATGTCTTATTATGATGTATAAGCTACATTATTGTAAAATTTCATTAAAATACATTCAGTAGTATTTGCGTGAGTAACAAAATTCCTTTCATACATACCAACTTTCGCCTTTATAATATTAGTAAGGATTTAAAAACTCGTGGTACCACGGACAAAAACCTCCAACTCTAACTTCCAACGCATCAGTCTGTCCCGTGACCATGAACGCTGTTAAGGGTTAGAAACGTCGGGAAATAAAACCAAAAATAATCGCGGTAAATACATTTGGTAATTTCAAACATTTTTCTAAAGCTACCCGTAATTATTAAGGCCTAATAGAACGTCGAATACATCGAGGACATAGATGCGTGTAAATAACTCTTGCTCTGCATTTGCAAGTCTCGTAGGTGCTGCTGATTTTATACTCAAATAATTTTGTATACCTCATCGTGAAAAAAAGATAACGATACCGTTACAGAGTTACTTGCTATTTCTTTTCTGTACATGTTTAACTTTGTGCACCGGTGGTAATTTTTCACCGTTCAATAGAAGATGAAAACAAGCCGATGTTCTAGATTTAAAAAAAGTAAAGTAACAGCCTATACATGTCCCACTGCTGGGCAAAGGCCTCCTCTATACAGAGGGTATCAGGGCATAGTCCACCACGCGGCCCCACTGCGGATTGGCGGACTTCACATATATTCGAAATATATTTTTTTTTGTTATTATTTCGAAAATATGCAGGTTTCCTCACGATGTTTTCCTTCACCGCGGAGCATGTGATAAGTCAGCACTTAAAGTTAAAAACTTCATTGGTGCCGGCACCGGGGATCGAACTCAGGTTGCTCGAGTATATTGAATTAAGGCGAGCGCCCGGACACTGAGCTATCACGGCTTTATTCTTAACTATTCGCTGTTTCACCTGATTTACGTAAAACTTTTTGTTCATCCCGTTTAGGAAAGACATAATGACGGAAACACTACAGATGAAAATGGAAACACAATCAAACAGGTATTCTTAACAAGTCAGCCCGTTTTTATTAAAGTTTAAACAATGGTTGCATATTTTTCGCGAGTTACACCTGCCACGAGTGGAATTAAAAAGCTCGATGGCACGTCGATAGCGCCAGCTATCTGTCTACCCAGGAAAGGATAAAAGCTCTAAAAATGGTAAAAGCTTCTTTTTACATTTATTTATTAAGCAATTTGTTTGCTAACGTGTAACTCGCGTTCGCATCTCAGCCACGAGCCGAGGCGAGATTGCTTCACGCGAAATATAAATATTGCGTTATCTCGACCTACGTCGGGAGCTAGTTCCCTCGCGCCCTCTATCGGATTTCATGAGCTCATCTAAACTCGATGATTCGCCATAATGTGGACGCTGCTGGGTTGTGGAGAGGGGCACGAATTTATGTTCAAATAAGTCGCAATCTTACAATGAAGAAAAAGTATTAAAGCCGTATTACGGTGCATTAAACAAAAAGACTAGGTATGAAATCATACTTAGAATTTTAGATACACTAATTAGACATTAAAATTAATTACTTCCGTTCTAAACGTAAAAGCGGGTCTAAGCGGTGGATTTTGGACATGTATAAAGCGGCTTTTACCGTACGAACTACATAATTTGTTGTACCTAAGCTTATGTACTGGACAAAACTTTTATAGGTTATAATTTATTTAATTAGTTAAAGAGAGACTTGGTCCTTAGAAACTTACTTGCAATGGGTGAGAGTAAGTAACAATCAGATTAGCCCGAGCTCCTGTCGACCCCAGTGACAAAACGAAGAAAGAAACGAGAAAGTACTGCCGCCCGGGACCTTGTTATTTCCATTGTTTTACCACTTAAAAAACACAACACACTCGGTAAAATTTTATCTTTACGATTTCCAGTTTAGGACACGAGTAAATTGACAGGTATACTTTTTATTTTTCTATCGAAACTCCCATGCTCCTGTTAAGTTCTATGTAGAATTTCGTATGAGGTAAGCTAAAATGATAATTTAATTAACCTTGATTACAACAATCAGTTCAAATCCTATTTATATTAAAACTGTCACAATCAAGAGTCACAATATGCTATTACAGAGTCAAAAAAAGCTCGTTATGGGGCGCGGCACCTAACAGTCTCTTATAGGACTTAACTCTTAAAGAGAATGATAGGCATTATTTAACTGTCGAAAAACGTCACGTGTGCTGCGCGGTAAACATCACCGTATTGTGACCGGCAAACAGCCGCCTCGCACCAAACACCGCTGCGCCTTTGAGCTGCCGTACTGTCGCCACAGACCAACTAAGTGCACGAGGCTTTTGGGACTTCGGGTCAAAGACAACGTCACCAAAATCATATGTTGAAACATTCACATTATTGTTTCAATCGTTTACTTTATTTACTCACTGAATTTAGCGCTTTGATCCGATCTCCGAATTTGATATCAATTTTAATATCCACGTTTTGTTTGGCGCTTTATTCGTAACACATAAGGTTGAAATGAGAAATATAACACCAATGTGCAGATATTCAAACTCTAAACACGAAACACTAATTTGTTTCCCAAGTTCTCGGATGGGGCGTAAATTGCGCAATATCCCGATGACGCTCTGTCCTTGCGCCGTCTATGGGCGCGTAATATATCAGTTGACAGTTCACAGGCAGTGGGACAGACAAAGAATGTTTAATTAGCTCTAAGTCAACAGCTCTGTTGACTGTCGCGCCTACCGCCGCAGCGGCCGCCGCCTCGTCACCGCGCGCCGCCGTTCTCGGAACCCTGCCACGGTAGGGCCCGAGGGTCTATTAGTTTTGTACGTGCTACATTCTTCACGCACAATATCGGCCCTGGACGCCTCGCTCATTACTGATCAGTTCCAATTACCTATGAATATGTCAGCGCCGTCCGTCTTAATACAAGAACATCCAGTTACACGAAATTTACTTTATCGTTGACGCAGTTAAGAACTCACCGCGAAACCTATTATGATTGCTTGATATGGAAATAGATGCCCCTTTGCGTTTTATCAGACGAAATAGTTTTGACCTACGTAAGCAACTAAATTATTAAAGTAAAATATGACCAGTGTGAAATTTAACACAGAACCATGATATAAAGATTGAATGAGCTAACATTTAGTGTGACCAAAGAGCGTTTGTAACTAAACCAATAAGTAATTTTTTGTGCTTTTGTCTTAATGCAGTGGCTGTTTAATATTGTATGTTTTATATCAATCCAAGCATCCCTCAACATGCAGCATGTACTGAATGTCTTCATTTCACCTATATCGTTATTCTAGCTCGGTCGTTAACAAATTCAATAGCGTTAATCCAATCGCACTCTGAAAGAGTTACTGCCTCTCCTTAGGTGTCCATTCACAATAATATTAACGGTCTCCCCGTCCACGGCGACGCTCGTAATTGAGCTATCACCCTTAGCCCGTGGCTTGCACAAACTATCACGTTTCAAGCCAGCGCCGTCCATTGATGCTCGAGCCTCGGAAGTTTGGCCTCTTCCATGAGAGTGTCCCCTTTCCTTTCGCGCCTACGGGATCGAGCGCCGGAACAAAGGGGACGGTGCGAACTGGCCAGGCACCGTCACTGCTCATGGGATCGGGCAGGTGGAAATAGTGACCACCGGCTACTCACCGCGCCCGCTCGGCTATCGGGTTACGAAGATGTCGTGAGGCGATGTGAAATTTATTATGCGACGCGACGCGTGTAATCGGTAACGCAGTGAGCGAGGGAGGTACGAGAGGCCGTGAGAAACGAATTCATTTGAATGGTAATCGTTGTCCGATGGACTGGGGACGCTCGGGTCACGGCGCAGGTCGGCCCCAGTATTGTTCCGGTCCCGTTCGGACTTTGCTCGTGGCGGACGCGGAAGCCGTTCCGCTGCTTATGAGGCGAAACTGATACGATGTGGTATACGAACTGGTCGATATTGTAATACTGCACCGCATATGCTGACGCCCATTGAAAGGCAATAAATTTCGCATATTCAATGCAGTGATATTCTATCCGATTGGCGTCGTACCAAAGATATGGTTCATCGTTGCGGGTTCGACTTCCGCGGGTGACAAGTATTTGTATGACTTATAGAATATATTAACGTCGTGCTTGCTTGTCCGCGTGTAATTCATTTTCGTGAGAATCCCCTACAGCTGAAGACATTTTTATTACACAGAACAAACTATTACAAAATGTTCACTTGATGTACAGTGTATACCGCCAAGCACTACGCCTATAAAAAGCCGCATCACATCTGGCATAGACCTTTTAAATGATTCTTATGTAGGCATGCAACAAAGTGGGTGGTTACTATTATACTTACAAAAGTTATATTTTATTCAATAACAGCGCTCAGTCCTCGATAAGGCCAAACGCTCGAAATCTATTATTGCACCCATATTGCATTCGTATCGAAACCGCCCGCTCTATACCAGTCCATGATTTGAGGCCAGCTGATAAGATCCGTACGCCCACGCGATTCATAAATTCCTAAAACGCGACTCCGACCCCGTTAAGGAATTTATGGGAAAGCCAACAGTAAGCGTCGGAGACGTAAAATGCGGCGAACTGCGTAGGTTTGTTATATTAGCCAATAAACCAGCTAGCTCCGGCGACCTTACACCTTAATGTGGTGTTCAGAGTAGGCATTTTTCACTTGCGCTTATCGGTACCAGGTGACAGTTGCTGGCACTCTAATAGATCACTCCTATCAGAAAACTAAGGTAACGATCGAAGATTCCGTATAATTATAGGCCTAGTTTAATGAACAGTGGGCAAATGAAATTATGATAAATGAATAGTGATGAGAAATTATCAGTGTCCGGCTGCTCAATTTTAATTCAAAATATTCAACAAACCCTGTTAAATTCCGGTGCCGGCACCGATGTAATTGATAATTTTAAGTACGTTATCACGTTCTCGACGATGAAGAAAAACAATATTTTTTTTAAATATTAACAAAAATGTCGAAGATATGTGATGTCCGCCAATCCGCAATGGGGTCAAGTGTTGGACTATGTCCTAATACGCTACATATATGTATAGAGGAGGCATTAGGCATATATAGGCAGGCCCAGTAGTGGGTAATATAAATAGGCTTACTTTAATATTACTTTTAAATTAAATTGTCAGTTTTCGGGGCGATGGTTCCTTCGTCCGTCATTGAGATATCAGACAAAATTTATATGATATATATATATATGGTATGTACTAGTACCATTATGTACAATTAGAATAATTTCTTAAATTAACTAGAGTTACAGTTTACTGCTAAAATTAATTATATAAAGAATAACAAGTATTTAAAGGATTACCATTAAACTTTAAGCTAGCAACATTAAAGGTAACTTAGTTAAGTATAAAGTGATTATTTAATCAAGTTCCCTTACGGCGCTCACCGTCAAAACGGCGAAATAAAGTGAATAAATTTAAAAACGCTTACTACTTACCTTACAACAATCTTAAAAATCAAATCACAAATTCCGTTATATAGCTTACGTGTGTATGTATAAGGAGACAGTTTCTATTATTATAATTTTTTTTTATCCGTTTATATAAACATTATTTTAATCAGCTGTTTTAATTTTAATGAACTTTAGAAGCTCGCAATATCCACGTTGTGCGCCATTTGTTATGTTGAGTGCAATTGTTTGGTTTTTTTTTTTCGTAAATTCTTAAATACTTACGTGCAAATACTTGTGTATCTGTGTGTACCGTGAAGGGGTGAGTTATTTGTGTAAAATTATATTTACTTTTAGAAATTTAGCCGTGATAGAAATACATTGTATCTTTATTCTTCATAGCCTACGGACATGCCCTTTTAAGACCTGAGGAGTTATCCGTGGATGAAGGTTTTGGCAGAGTTCCCAGAAATAAAACTCTCCTGGCGCCCTTACTATTAGCTTAATATATTTTAATAAGTTTAGTTTTATAGCTTTTGTTTTAGTTTAGTTTAATAGGTTTCCTTTCAATTAGATTCACGTAATTGTTTATTGTGCTCGTAAGCTAAGTAAACTGTTTGCACGTGAACTTTAGAAGTCTCATTTATTACAAAAGAACCCATAACAAATGACGCCCAACGTGGGGCCCGAACCCACGACCCTGAGATTAAGAGTCTCATGCTCTACCGACTGAGCTAGCCGGGTATATATATATATATATATATATATATATCATAAATTTCTATATATATATATATATATATATGATGTTAGATTAGAGTTACATAAAAAATATTGAGCGTACGCTACATTTGTCAGTATAACGTAATTTTGATGGATGGAAACGTGTATTAGAAAGAAATAGATTTTAATCCGACGCTCGTCTTGGGCCGGAAACACACGTGGAGTTGAAAGCGACCATGCACCGCAGCGGCACAGTCGTAAATTCCACCAGAGCCCTGACCTCGCCGCGTGATCTCGAATTACATTACAATTTATTGTCCTTCGCCCTAATTGACCCATAGCGTGTACTCTAACCTCACTTTCGGGAGGTCAAGATAACTTTAAACTTTATCAGACAGAACTACGAAAATCTCAATATGAAACGTTTACAAAACTCAAATGAATAATTCTCTAGTTATGATTTACATCTAGGAATGAAGATAATGATCCTAGTTTCTAATATTTAGCTAAGTACGCAATATGTCAGTACCTTCCCGCATTTTAAATTCTTTAACAGTAAAATCCTAAATAAGTCCATGAACTTATTTATTAAATAGAACAGATTAGCTTTAGCTATATTAGCCTCATATTCAATAAATATGCCTTACGCTATATGTTGACTTTTTATACTTCATTTAACGTAATATGTTTAATCTGATTTTTCGCTGACGGCTACGAGAACTAGTACTCTCTAAGATTAAACACTATTACATAAATTCAAAAACTTTTATTATATTATAGAATGAGTAACTTTAATATTGATTTTAATTCCCAAAGCTTCAACGTTGAGAATTATAATTAATATTAAGGTGACAAATTTTATTTCGTGTAATTACTTAAAAATTTGTAATATATGTTTGCAAAAACAAAACTCGACGAATAATTAATTCAACTTGTTCATTCGCGTTGAATGTACTTGATACATTTCGCACTTAAAATATTTTCGATACTACCATTACCTAATAAAATATTAAACATTCTTATATCGTGTTCAAGCCAATTAAACATGACCCGAATAGTGTTACAGAATATCTGTATGAATTTTATACGATACTAACCATATCGTCATATCGAGCCTGTGATATTTCAATAACACGATCGGAAAAATACCTAACAATCTAAATAGAATTAAGTCACTGTAAATCATCCGTTTAACATAATTGTATCGTTGGGCGTTGCATAACGTTACACCACAGAAAAGGGAAACTGTAGATTTGTCAAATCCTACGGGCTATCGAGTCGTTATTAATAACAAGGAGTGACGTTTTTACGCAAATCATATTCAAATGTGTACGTTTATGTCGCTTAATATGGAGTCCGTCATCCGAATTTGGGAGTCAAGCGCAACACAGGCATTCAAGTGGCGATATACAACACATGTAGGAGCGATGAAGAGATTAGACGTGGCGCGACACTACAAATTAAACGATAATATTATCGCACTTATGTTATAAAGCTTGCTTGTAGTAGTTTGTATTTCTTTTTAGGGTTCCATACGTGAAGGGTAAAACGGGAGACCCTATTGCTAAGACTCCGCTGTCTGTCTCTCTGTCCGTCTGTCATGTGTTCCATGTACCGTGATAGTTAGACAGTTGAAATTTTCACTGATGATTCATTGAATTATAGAACACAGAATAAAACAAATATTTAAATGGGGCTCCCATACAACAGACATGATCTTTTTGCCGTTTTTATAGATACGATTATCTAGAACGGAACCCTTCGTGCGCGAGTCCAACTCGCACTTGGTCGGTTTTTGTTATTTCTTTTCACGTCGTAATGGCTAAACGAATTTTATCGAATATCATTTGATTTGGAATGGAGAGGTTTCAGAGGTTGCGTTAAAGCAGCATACGAATAGAAGATATACAAGTATGTATCTAATGATAACAGCTACCCAAGATTGAGGATGAGAGCTACGTATATAATATAGGCATCTGTGAAACCTAAGTCGTTTAGATAGAACATAAGTAGCCCTGCTTTTTTACACAAATTATATCGTGTTAGAATTACATGTAACATCAAATTATCGAAATTATGAATTGTACTTTAATATCAATTTGTTAATTTTTTTGTTGTCAATTATGGAAAGTATATACATTCACAACAATTTATTATACGCATACGTAATATACGTTTGTCCTAATACGCATATCTTTTGTGTTTTATGGGATTACAGCGGTGATCGGTTAAAAAGAAGTTTTTGATGATAATCAGGCGAACCGCTGTCTTAAAATAATAGGATTTTTAAATAAAATATGTCATAATCACGTAGAACAAGTCATAATTAATTACACTTATGTTTTTAATGAAAACTTTACAGTGTTCATAGTTCGATAATGATTTAACTTTGTGATTCCTTGTTTTTTTTTTTGATTTGATGAAATTGTGTATTTAACTCTCGCTCACACGGAGCGTGGGCAAGAAACAGCATAGGGTGAATTATGAAATTAAATAGTGCATCGATTTAATTGGACAGGAAACGGGTCTCGTCGATCAAACATCTTTAGCCGAATGGGTGTGCCGAGGCGGCGTAGGGCCGCGCTCGAGGACGCTCAATAATTTAGAATCAACAGCTGTAACAGTAGCCAAATAACTCGGCCTAATCCGTGTCGAATCGCCAGAGACTTTTCAATAATACCACCGATTTGACGACCTCACTGCTACATAAAGAGCGGAGGTGCGCCGCGGCTCACCATTTTTTTTTTTGTGTGGGAACGCGTTTTTCAATCACGCTGCGAGCGTTTTACGGAGCCCCGTGTAGCGGCGAGGCGATAAATATCGTAGCTTATGGCCGCGGCCGGCTTTGATGTGCCGTATCCCGATTGCCACGGAAATTCTGGGGGTCCCGTCCGCCCGCACTGGACCCGTGCACTTGTGTCCAGTCGCGTTATAAACGGCCAACTAACCGAGACAAAGGACGCTACAAGATAGGCGAGAAACTAAGGAAATCAATTAACCGGCAAGGTCGCGTAAAACGCTCCATGTGTTAACATATCGCACTTAAAATGGAGATAAAGGAACCTGGCCTGAACCGGGCTTAAATATAAAACTATCTTTGTTTTTTTTTTATGTAAAATTAGTTTAAAGTGATTTGGAAGTTCCTTGGTTCAAATTATTTGTATGTATACATACATTACGTGTGCATAAACATCGTAAACGATCTGATGAACATGTTTGTACACAAATAGAAATAATTTTAAAAGACTAGTGACTTAATGAGGGTTTTTCTAATTCGTTAATGGCGCGATGTTCGCGCTGTGTGCGATTTATGTGGACTCATAGCGGTCGTAATTATCGCCTAACAGCCGTGGGCCGGGTTAATCGGCCCCATCCGCGGAGGAGTACAACATTAATTTTCACGCTGCCCATACGCCATCGATAAGCGACGCTCGATTTCGGCGCGTTATGTTCGCGCCGCTGATAAAATTACAATATTATATCGATAAGACGACGCGACGCGCGCGACGAGCAGACCGGAGATATTGTAAATAATTAGGCTGTATGCATAATTAATTTACGACGTCGATAATGTCAATTGTCCATTTGGAAACAGCATATATGTCAAGGATGTGATTCTCGATTCGGCGGATGAAAATTTTATGTGCACGCGGGGCAGCTTAATGTCTTTATAGGTGTCGCTCGCTTCGTCGCAAAACCGCGCGCTCTTCAGTGCTACGAAAATAACTGTTCTCTGAGAGAATGAATTTCATCGCTGCAATCTCTGTGTTCCTTTAATGATAGAGAAATCTTTAATTTCCACAAACAATATGAATGCACATTGGAACAACAATGAGTCAGTCTGGTTTTAATTTCTTTTGTATTCAGGTGAGCGATTTCCGTATCATATAAATTAATATAGTAAAAGCAAATAGAACATATCAATTCACAACTCACATCCTTGACAAAGTGACAGACTTCAGTCAACCACGCTATGTCATTTTTCTTCATTATCTGTTTATTATGACAATTAATAATCTTAAATTATATTATAACCACACTCAATTGAGTAATAATTTCAAACACTACTATTATAAAATGTGTTATTAAAAATTTGGACTCCAGGTTAATCGGTCGACATCCTCATCGTGCGTTCTTTCTCAATGCGTAGGCTCAAAATAAAAAGCGCATGTTCATTAAAGCGAGATGTTTCAACTTTAATAGAGTTCTGAAAACCATGTGATGAACGGTACAGTTGCTTTATGCTTAGGTATTTTCTCCAATATTTTGTTGAACGATGTGTTTGCGTAGAAAGTTTGGGAGTTTAATTAACAGTGAACAATGGTGTATTGGAAGTCGGTCGGTGTTTGCGCGTCCTCCGCCACGCGCGCTCAACAAAGACGCTCGCCTGACTTTTGACTTTCCTCGTGTGGTTAAACTTCATAATATAATTGAGCCCGAACAAAATCCGGCCGGGGATTACCATACAATGGGCCAGTCAGTTCCGCCGAGCCCGCCAGGTCGCCGGGGGCAAAAAAACACTACCACTCGCTGTAGTCGCCAGTCCGAAACAACAGATCGCTACGGCTACGATAACGCATAATGCACTCTACGTGGATACTGATAAGACACATATCGAATGTCTTTATATGGTATATACGACCGTCCGATCCGGCGCGGGGGGTTGGCAGGCGTCCATCGAAAGCAGCCCATCATGAGCTCGACGACTGTTTGACGGTTGACAAGAGCCGGTAAAAACGGCAGCGCAACTCGGCGGCCGGAGCGACCATTCGACATTCGACTCGGCCCGCGTTTTGAGTTATTGCGTTCGGGTCGGCTTTTTGCCAGGGCCACTGATGTCGCGGCCGCTTCGAGCAGATCTGGTGGATGCCTTTCCTCCACTCGCACGTCTGAAGCGGCCATCGGCCGTACGCGCTTTCCCCGGTATTCCACTGCGAGCCAACCTGCGAACGGCTGTGTGCAATGAATGGAATTGTCGCTCTCAGCCCGTCTCGTCCCTCGCAAGGGGCCTGGCTAGCGGTCTGTGCACCTTCGACCGGCGTTACGTCACCCGCACCAGCGCAGGTGCCTACTGGGAAACGGCAACAGACACCGAGCAGCGACATTCCTAATACCTCCGCCCGCTCATTTTTGCACATACGGGCTACAATTTCCAAGTATAGCGCAGAATTTTCCACTAAGTTTCACGACGGCAGATATAATTTATGTATGAATTTCGACCATTACATAAAGCGACGCACTAATTCATATTCTGTTGAGATAAAAATTATAGTTCAAAACATACCTGAAATAACTGGAGAACGTCGAATCGAAATATTTTTATCGTCCTGTTTGTGTTCTATCGATACGAATAGGTCGATCGCTCAATTCATCAGTGCATAAACTGACGGTTTTTTTGTTTGTGTAATGATCGATATAATAATTGCGGTCAATGTGACGAAATACACCGTATTGTGTTTTTTCCCTTTACGATATACTGTGGATTATTCACCTTAGTATACAAAACGATGCTACGTATGTTAAACAAAATAAAAACTTGCAAAACCGCGCCGGGAACAGAGTTCGATTCCATACGCGTCCAGTGCTCGGGCGACAGTCGCTTGGTAAGTTCACATGTTGCGTATGCAAATTCGTAGACATGTCCTAGGAACGCTGACCATCTAACGACAAGTTTTTGCAAGTACACATCCGATCGACAATTCCAACGCAACAACCGCTACGTAAAAGGCGGCCATGTTATGGATCCCTAGACCAGTAAAAGTCGCACTTTTTGTCGAGCACAAGTGTTTTACAACTCTTTTAACCAAACTCGCCACACTGAAAATTTTATGGGTCTGGAAAAACACGTTTCAATTCTATACTGTATTTAAACTATAAGTGACTTACTAGTTTGATTCTCTAATGTTTACTAGTAGATGGTTTCGTTTCATTAAAAATATTAATGATACTCGTGCCCTCATCCCACCTAGGTGGGGTGAGGGCACGAGTGACAGCATGTGTATCATGTTGTAAGCGGTTTTGGCTATGATTTTCAATTATAAATATTAATATACTGTAAAAATTACATCCTGACACTATTTAAGGATTAAGCAGATCACGAAATGGCTCATCACCTGATCTTTATCCGTGCGTTGAGCGACCATACAGGTGTAGTACATTTTCATAGGTATTTAAAGACTGCCTAATTCGCAGTTACAACTAAAGACGACTAAAATACTTCAATACTTAAAAGACACGCACGAGTCAACAAGTCTCACGGGAGACGAAACGTCCCCGTCGCGAATAATCCGCAAACAAATCGAATTTGAACCGTACCGTGGGCAGAGCAAAACGCTAATTATCCTAATTCTTCCCGCAGCACCCGTCGCAAGTGAAGAAGAATGGGTATTTAGAAACGGAACGTGCCCTAAGCATAATTGGTCGCAGAGAGAGCCCGAACGGGAAACAAATTTTCTCCACTCTAGAAAACAAGCGATGTAATTAGGTATTCGATTGCATTGGCCACGTCTCGCAATGGTAATATATCGCATTCGGTGTGTCCGTGCGATGCGACGCGACCCGCGCTCGCTGCCCTTTACGATACACGGAACGCCAAAGACATGCTCTTTTGCATATTCTAATAATACCGTTCCACGGTTTTTAAACGTATTTATTTTATTTCGACAGACGAACACCTAATCGACGTTGTTTTATTCTAATATATGTATACTGACATAATAATAGACGAAATATGATAATTGATAATTTTGCTTTAAAAATCGCAATGCAAATCTTTCTTTTTTTGGTATGCTTACAATCAAAATTTAAAAAGGTTAAACGTTGTGGCGATATGTCTTGACAGATTCTGCAGCATGGATGACAGTGGAAAGTTATTCCTATCCCCTACCTTATTACGTTACAATAGGAAATGCTGGTACATAAGACGAAGATCGTGTCGGTTCCGTCGCGGGCTCGTTAAGCAGCCCCCGACGACACTTTCTACGCGCGACGGGCCGCACATACGCAACTACTAGTGACACCGACATCCGGGTGACACGCTCCCTTGTTTATGTGCATGCCTGTTTGTTTTCACTGCCGCCACGACGCTTGAATGCGTCTATTTTCACCGTGAAGCTACTCGCCCATCTTAACGTTGGCTTAAGCGACCAGCGGGGCTGGACATTGCTATTACCTTTAGGGTAAGAAAGCCTGTCTTTCGTTTGAGTGGCTTCAAAAACAGACGGACATTTTACATTTATAATCACATATCCAATACACTTCATAAAAGATTTGGATTACATAAGTACTAGTATGCCCTTGGAAGTTCGAAGTCGAGGTCGGTGATTTCTTTTTAGTCTGTTTGGTGTCAAATCAAACCCCAACTTCAACCGAAAATCTGCCAATAGACGTATGATATAATTGAACGCACATATCTGAGCGAATGGTCTGGTAATAATACCGCAGAGCATTGCACAAAGACTATAGTCAGTCAGTACATACTTGTATATATGCGAGTGTTTATATGTGCGTGTGTGTGTGGTTGTGTCGATGTCGGGCCACGTGAGCGCACTGTCAATCAGCATCGCTACGCGGACTTCGGAGGTCATTTTGCTTCTCGGAAGAATTCCTTTAAAACCAATGGCCGCATACGGCCAATAAAACGGACCACTGTTGAGACGACCGCAAGCGCTAACACCACTCTCGAATATCACATTCCTCCTTGTGAAAGCACAAAAAACTTTTACCGCTATTTTCAAATTCAAATCGGACTAGTTTCATTTATAACTTCTTCAAGCAGCTATAAACATCAAAATCCACCACCGGGCGTCCAAATGAATACCAGCTCACCAAGCGATTAACGGCGGGAAAATCTGTTAGTATTTACAGTATGTATGTTAACTTTTATGATTAGTACTTTCACGTTAACCCTTTACATGATTTAGTGCTGAGCATAGTTTCTACAAAGAATTAGATCACCATAATGTATCAATAACATTAGATAGATGCACTGCAATTTCAGTACTTTTTCAACAACCGCCAATGTATCTATTATACACCTCCATATCGAAATTGGTTCGTTCCTATCGAAATCGTTTGGTGTTGCTATCATAGGCCCTCATCGCATTTGTCCTGGTCATTTACTAGCTTCAAATTAAATTAAATCGATCTAATTTCTTCCAAAATCTGACAATAATTTGCTGCTAGCCAAAGCTTGCTGAATACCACTGGAATATGCGAAGCTTATCAAATACGCTACGTATATTGCAGAAGTATTCAGTCAGCCTAAAAATATTCAAATATTAAAGTTAAGCTCACTTTTTACTCAATAAATAAAAATTCATTTATTTCTATAATCTTTGATACAATTTCTTGCCGAATTTTCCCAGTGAGTTGTTGTAGACACTTGTATAGGCAATAACCCGCTACTTCCTTTATGGATAACGACGAACGAACTAAACGATAAGTATAAGAAAAGGCAGAAATCGTGAATATTCATTTTATTAAATAAAAACTTACAGATGAACGGTACACGTAAGAGTATCTATTACGTAATAAAATTTGCACAGTTGCGTAATTCATATTCAAAAAGAAATTGAATACACTAATAAGTGCTTATGTTTCTAAAATGTTTAAAAAGTCAACGCGGATGTTAAAATGTACGGTGTTAGCTTAATTGGCCATAAATTAGCATGAATTAGTGGCATCCAATGATCAGCGTCTCCGAGGCAGCCGTTTCATAAGCGTGTTGGAACACTAAAAGCGTCGCGAGATCCTTATCTTCGCAACACGCGATCAACGCTTTATATGTTGAAAATGTTAAAACAATCTCGATATGGAGGTGTATAAGTTTTTTCAACGACTTAACTCCCAATTGTTAGGACAACCTTCCATTTAATCGGATGACGTACTGTGCAAATGTGCGTGATGGATGCAGGTGGCTCAGGTTCGACCTTCATGGCAGACTGTGAAGTAGGCCTAAGTTCATGGTGATGGTGAAATACTTAATTCCTTCGTTTAATTCTATAAATCGAAGGGGATCCTCCGAATATATTGCCTGTATTCATACAAATAAATTGCGATACAAATCTCACATAATAACGGGTCAGATAATTTGATAGGTACCAGATCGTAAGCCCTTTTAGCACTGAAAGAAAAAGTTAAACTTACAAAACTATGAATCCAATTAAAATATCGCAACTGGAGCACATCAATGACCCCGGGGGTAGAGCACGCCACGTCTCGATAGCGCAAGGTGACAACGCATTCTTAGAGTGTCAATTAACACCGCAATTCCATATGAGTCTGGTTCGTTAATGGTCAGCAGCCACGCGGCCTAGGTGGCAAAAAGCCAGTCCATTCTTCCCGCGCGCACTGATGAATATTTGTCCCGACACAACGAACGTCGATGATCTATATAAGGATTGACGATCGCTAAAAATTCTTCGGACGTCTAGAATTGCAGAGATGCCGTTTCGCGACATTTTAACGACTCCGTGAATATCATTTCGTAACGCAATGCCCGTTGAAGAACGAAAGTCTTCCGTTCCAAATGTAGCAGACAGAGGAGTAAAAAAGTTTAGATGTTCAAACATGTGCACATCATGGACTTAACATTTTTGTATTCTCTTTTTAGTGCTATCATACAGTTAAAATTCGCTATTCTTGTACACTAATCGAATAATGCATAAAGCAATATCTAATAAAATTATTTGGATTATAGACGAACCAGTTTAAGACATAAGACATTTAATCCGTCACTTAATCTGTACACAATTATGTTACATTTTGTTACAGTAAAAATTAAAAAAAACGACAAAGTAATGAATAAAATAACATAAAATTAATTAAAAAAATAAAGTGAAAGTAAAACAAAAATGAAAGGATATCTATATATATATATAATAATATAAGTATCACAAGTGTTCGCACAAGCGAGTAGGTTATTTGCTGAGTACTTAAGCAATATTTTTAAATTTTAACAAACTTAAGTGCTCCCGTCCGAAAACAGACTTAACATGAATACTATTGATGGCGGGTGACTTTAATTGTTTGTAAGTAGCTAAAAAAGGCATAAATACGACTATTCATTGTGGATTAATGTGTCAAAATCACTACTACTACCAATAGGTGAAGTCAATAATATGATAATAATAATTTT